TCAGGGCTTCAGCTCATCCTCTTTCAGTGATCATCTTCTCTGAGAAATTTGTAGTGGTTACAGAGAATACCTCCTGCAATGAAACCAGTACTGAATGAGGGACCCAGAAGCTCCAGACCTCTCACATTCATGAGGTTACCTTCTAAGATGGAAATGCTGATCTCAGGATCACTGTTTAATCACCTCTGTTCCAGGGATCAGGATCAGGGGGAGGGGGGAGAAGGAGGGGGGAATACAAGTATAACTCCTGCCTCAAGATCTGAACTCAGACTCATCTGGACTTGTACGTACTCTAGCTACCACATGCAGGCAGCCACCATTGGTACCTGGGATTGGCAGGAGGGAGGGGGGAGGGTAGGACAAAGAAGAATTCAGAGACTTTCGAGAGAGATAGTTCCATGCTGCATATTCTAGAAACATAAAGAAGAGATCTGAGTAAGAGCTTTCTCTTCAAAGTCTACTAAGTAGGTGGTTCTTCTTGGCTAAGTGGCTAATAAGGGTATTGTTTCATCATCCCAAAGTCCTTTAGCATTGAACTAGAACTCCTGACCCCTTGATGTACTTGAGATAGCTAGGTAGTGGTGCAGTGGATAGAGTGCTTGCTGCTAGGCCTGGAGTCAGGAAGACCTGAATTCAAATCCAGCCCCAGATACCTACTAGCTGTATGACCCTAAGCAAGTCACTTAACCTCTGTCTGCCTCAGTTTCCTAGACTGGAAAAGGGGGATAATAATAGCACCTACCTCCCAGGGTTGTTGTGAGGATCAAATAAGATATTTGTAAAGTGCTTAGCACAGTGCCTGGCACACAGTAAGTACTTAATAGATGCTTGTTCTCTCTTCCTTTTCCCCTCCTTCCCCCAGGCAAATTCAGTTCAACTCCACATAGGTTCCTTGGGGCATGCTCTTGCAGAGCACATTGATTCAGGAGTGAGGGGAAGCTCACGATTACTGCCACTATACTAATCACATCGAACAACCTCATCTCTGGGTAGAATTTACACTTCCACCCTCTGCATTGACTTGGTTACTCTCTTGGTAGTCTTTCCAAATTACACAAAGTCCACATGGTTCTGGAGATGCCTGGAAATGTCTGGGAAAAGAGAGCTACCTGAGGTCTTCCCACCTGCCCACAGGTATGGCCTAGAAAACAAACAAGCTGTCTTCTGTATTCTGGTGCTAAAAAAACCACCCACTTCTCCTATCAGTGTTACCTGCTTCCCTCTGAATCAGCCCTGGGAAATCCCCATCAGGGAGGAAGCTGGGAGCCCTGTCGGAGGCTGGGAACCAGGCAGGCTCTTCATAAGGCCAGATATTTTCAGTGTCCCTGGGGTCCTTTTGTGAGGAAAGAAATCAGTAATAGTGATGGATGGAAAAAGTCATGGGGGTAGGGGGCGGTCAAGTCACAGAGTGGGAGATGCTTCAGAGACAGGCCAGGATGATAAGGCGTAGCTTCCAAACTTAGATCCCTTAAAAGCAGAAACTGCCTTGTTCTTCAGAGGAGAATCAGTGGTTCCTCAGGGAGAGAGAAGAGAAAAGAGAATGGCTTCAGTGTTTGGAGAGGCTTAGGGGAGAGAGTGAAATTAGATTGAAGTATTCCTCTCTAAGGAGACATTTTTGAGTGCCTCAACTTCCTCAGAATTCTCATCCTAAGCACTTCATTGGGAAATTATTCCATATACATATACTCAATAGGAACTTAAAAATTCACCATGCTACAGCACTAGTCTTGGAGACAGAGCTGAGTTCAAATCCTCACCTGACACTTATTAGCTATGTGACCTTGAACAGTTTAGCTTCTGAGTCTCAGCTTCCTCATCTGTCAAAAGGAGATTATACACACCACCCGCCTTCTGGGGTTGTTGTGAGCAATGTGTTTTGTAATCCTTAAAGTACTTTGGAGATATGATGTCATTAATATTTACACAGAACAATAGAGAACATAAAGACAGAAGGCTACGTTAGGGATTTATATCTTAGACTGGAGTTTAAGGAAGGAAAAGGCCAATAACCCTAAAAAATGTCATTAAGCCCTCAGCAGAGTCCTAAGGGGCTAAAATTTTCTGCAAGAGTTGTTAACAAAACAGGAGAAAAAGACAATTCCGTTTCTTCTGTGCACCCTCTAATCTAAAATGTATTTTATGCCTCTTCCAAGCTGGGAAGGATGGATGATGTCACAAAGAGCTATGTCCATATTCCCTGTGCCTCGGATGATTTGAATGCACCAAAAGCACTATAAAAATGCTATAAATATATTAAGAAGAGTTATTTTTAAAGGGAAGGAGCTGAAATTAATGTTGAGATGTATTTTTGATATCACTTGGCATAACCTTCTGGCTCAAGTCTTAAGATGGGAAATCTGGCTCTGAGTTCACCTGGCAAGAGATGAGCCCTGGAAATGAAATCTAGCCATCTCAAGTGCCTTGCCCCTGATCATCACTCCTGCTGACCTGAATGAAGGGAGGGAGGGAGAGAGAGAGAGATCAGATGGCTCAGACTGACTGGGCAGGGAGATTCCAGGAGCTAGTTATCAGAGAAAGGATTTCCTGTTGAGAGAAGGCCAGGATAAGCCTTCAGCTCTGATTCACCGTCCTCCCAGGTCTCTGGAATCATGAGGGACTTGGAACCTTTCCTTCTGTATAGGAAAGATTGTCTTGTTTAGGATGTTTTGGGAGGAGGGAGAGAAAAGAACCCTGGCTGGCCATTAGTTTCACCATCTTTTAAGCTGGTAAAAAAAAAAAGAAAGAAAGAAAGAGAGAAAAAATCACTGCTTCCACACTCCCAGGAATGCTGTAAGGTTAAAAGTAGCTCAGACATGAACAGCACTTAAGAAATAAACTAGGTTTCACCGGTTTGCAGCAATTGTTTCTTTTTTCCCCCACCCACTGACATTTCCGATAGAATCATCATTAACAGTAATTTTTGAGGGCATACTAGGTAGAAGGCACTGTGGAATGGAGTGGGAAAGCATTTATTAAGTATTTACTACGTGCCAAGCAAGCACTGGAAATAAAAATTAAAAAATGAGACTGTTCCCACTCTCAAAGAGTTCACATTCTAATTAAGGAAGACAGCACAGATAAGTAAGAGCTTAGCCACAGTGGATGGAAAGGCCCAGGGGTCCTTACAGATGGCAATCAATGGGAGTGGCTATGTCCACCCAGCATCTGGAGGGCCCACAGCTGTTGACACAGGGTGAGTTTGGTGGGATCTGAGCAGGAAGTGGGCTGGGTCTTTGGAAGAAGGGCATACAGTGCAAGGTAGGGGGGTTTAGTAATAGAGAATATGAGCCTTCAGGGAACTTACGGTCAGTAATAATAATAATAGCTAACATTTATGTAGCACTTTAAGGTTTGCAAACCACTTTACAAATGTCTCATTTTACCCTCACAACCACCCTGTGAGGGAGGTACTATTATTATTCCCTTTTTCCAGATGAGGAAACTGAGGTAGACGGAGGTTAAGTGATTTGTCCAGGGTCACACAGCTAGTAAGTGTTTGAGGCTGGATTCAAACTTGGGCCTTCCTGAATCTAGGGCAATGTTGTTTAGTGGGAAAGAGCACTGGATTTGGAGTCAGAGGACCTAGGTTCAAATCCTGCCTCTGGCACTTACTAGCTGTGTGACCCTGGGTAAGCTGCTTAACATTCCTGGATCTCATTTTCCTCATCTCTGAGCTTAAGCCAGAGAACCTGTTAAGGTCCCTTCTAAGTCTTAACCCTATGAATCTGTTAAAGGCCAGATCAGTGTTACACACAGTGATGCCAGAGAAGTCCAGAAATGAGAACTCAGCAGAGATTAGAAAATGTTTCATGGGTGAGGTGGACCTGAATTTGGCCTTGACGGATGACTAGAATTTAGACAAGTGGAAGGGGAGACACCAGCCAAGCATGAACGACGCCCCAGAGGCCAGGATGCGAGTGATGCATTGGAAGAAATAAACCAATTTGGCTAGAGATCTGGATTTATGTAAGAGGGTAGTTTCTGTCAATGGTGGAAAAGTGAGTTGAAGCTATGGTATTGAAACCTCGAATGTCAGGCTAAGAAGTTTAGATTGTATATACTCCACGCAGTGGAAAGCTACTGCCCCTCACTATGCCCTCTTCCTGCCCCCTATCCTGATCCACACAGTCTAGACTGTGAATCAGAAACAGGAAGCAGCTCTTGACCTGCTGCTAATGCCGTTAACAGCCCCATCTGGAGACGGGGACATAGAAGGGAAGGGTAATTTATACCGGCCATGTTTCTGAAGTGATTGACTCTGATATCAGGGTTGGAAGGAAAGCGGCAGCCGCAACACCTGCCCTTCTCTGCACTTTAAACTCTGTTTTCCCCTTTACCTAAGACACCCTGACCTCTCTTCACCCTCTAGCAACAGTGAGCAGGGTGATAAAGGGAGGTGGGGAACCAATCCCCAAGTAAAATAAATGTTTGTTGAGTGAATGAATTTGCTATGAATAATTGATACACACATAATTGAAAGTTATAGAGTCAGAGAATTTTAGCACTAGAAGGGACCTTAGAGATTGTCTCGATGATGGAATATAACATACTTGGGAAATGAAATATTTTCTTCTGGTGAAAGCTTTACCCTCTTAAATGATTTCATTGGAAAAATTTCCAGACTTAGAAGCCTGTGGCATGTTCTGACCCAGAAGGGTCCAGAGTTCTTGGAAGTGTTTTTTTCTAGCTCTTGTTTTAAATGGAATTTGCCTGGATGGCCAGATCATAAACCCCCATTCCTCAGTAAACTATTTCATAAATTGCTGTCATTAAAAAAATTCATCACCCTTTGATCAACCTAGTGATGAGTTTCTTGGGACTTAGGCTGGAGAAGCTCTGTGCCTTCTCCCACAGCTGAGCAGGGACCACCCTCTGTCCCCTAGGACATCTTTGTCCAGTCCTGAGATCTGTGCTCTCCTGGGGTATCAGAGGAGGGGGAAGGTGGACCCCACTGACCTCTACCTTTCTCTTCCCGCCCTCTTCTTCCTCTCCTCAATCAGGATGTAAAGATCTTCCGAGCCCTCATCTTGGGTGAGCTGGAGAAGGGCCAGAGTCAGTTCCAGGCCCTCTGCTTCATCACAAGGCTACATCACAACGAGATTATCCCCAGTGAGGCTATGGCGAAACTGCGGCAGGTGAGAAGCCCCAATCCAGACTACTCTTGCCCCATGCCCCTTCAGCTCCCCAACCTACCCTGGCCCCACTAACCAGAGTCCAGATCCATGACAGACCCAAGCCCATACACACCAGAGTCTCAACTCTCCAATCCACCCAGCACCAGCTTCCCAACTCACCCTGGACCCCAAACTTGCCCCTCAATCCAGTTTGTCCCAATACCCTATCCCTCATTTCCACTATTAAACCAATACTCCTAGTTCCAAGCAAATGCCCCTTGCAGTCCATTCCTTTTTGGTGTCTCAAATCCCTGGATTCTTCCCTTAAGTCAGAGGTGGGGAACCAGCAGCCTCGAGGCCCTTTAAGAGCCTCACTTGAGGACCTAGAGGGCCACATGTGGCCTCGAGGTCACCGGTTCTCCACCCTTGCCCTGAGCCCTTCTGCAGTCCTTAAGACCATACACAAGAATCTTTTCTCAGTCCTCCCTTACCCTTATATCACCATCTGTCCACTTTCCTAGATTCAAAATGGGATAGTTCTCCAATGTTATTCAGATACTGGGGGGCGGGGCAAAAGAAAGGTGGTAGAAATTATATCTCTTGCTCTCCAGCCCCATCAGAAGCTTTTATAAATCCCACTCATGGCCTAATATATGGAGAATAGGTTCATCCTGCTGGTGTCCAAACCCCCTCACCTCTCTCCCTTTCTAAAACCTGTCCAAGTCTAGAGGAGGGGAAAAAAGAGAAGAGGAGTAGCGGGAAGAAGGAACCACACTACTTGATGTATGCCCCCAAAAGAACATTGTGGTCCCAGAGTCCAAATGGTGAGAGATGCGGACTAGTCATAGATGAGGCTTTTGGGGAAGGGTGGGTGAAGTATGTAAGGGAAAAGGGACCATGGGGGACCACAGATATGCTTACTCCACTTTTTCCCCTCCCCACCCCACCCATCCTCAACAGAAAAACCCTCGAGCAGTACGTCAGGCTGAAGAGGTACGGGGTCTGGAACAACTCCACATGGACGTGGCAGTCAATTTCAGCAAGGCAGCGTGGCTGAGCCCCCATATCCATAACGTGTGTGCTGAAGCCCTAGAGGCCATCTACACCCGAGAAGAGGACGTCAAATTCTGGCTGGAGAGAGGTCAGGCAGATAACCTCTGCGACACAGGGCCTAGAGCCCCAGTTGTAGGCCACGTAAAATGAGGGAGGAGGCCACACAGGCCCTGGCCATAGGGAACTTTCTGTCTAAAGGTGGAGGCTACACACACAGCCAGACAAATAAAAAACAACAAAGACTTGGAAATTCATGTAGAAATGCCAAGCGCCAAAATAATCTCCAAGTGTTAAGGAGATGGGTTGTCACACAGTGCTTCTGGAGAAAAAAAGGGCAAAAACAGAGGATGCTTCTAAGAGAAACTGAGAGTTTAGCAGTATTCAGGAGGACAACAGGGGCATGGGCTAGTGGGCTGCTGAAGGTGGGAGCAATGGGCCATGTCCACTGTGGGGAGCCTCAGGGGCCGTGTCCACTTTCACCGTGGCTTGGGACTTCACTGACCTGCTCTTTTGGAGAGCAATGGGCACCAGGCCCTGGAGCATAAGGCCTTCCTAGCACCCTCTTGGCCCTCCCCCACCGAACCCTACCTTCCCTGCTCTCACCTATCCAAATTCAGCTGTCTCCTTTCTTCCTGTCTCTTCTAACTCCTCCCAGTGTTGCTGGGTGCCCACCACATCCTCACTAGGCCCCAGACTCTGGCTGCCTTCCTCTCTCCAAAGAGAACCAAAAGAGAAATTGAGATGCCAACAGTTCTAACTCAAGTTTTAAGTCAGGGTTACCCCCACCTTCCTCTCATTCAGGGTCTGGCTCCTCAGAGAGCTCGTAGGATCTGAAACTAAAGAGACCTTCCCATGTTGTAGCTGAGGAATCTGAGAGGGCCTGGGAGGTAATAGAGCCAGGTTTCAATCTTAGGTCTTCTGACACACAGTCCAGGGCTTTCAGCACCTAGGCTTTCAGGGCAAGGGTTGAGTTAGACACTCCCTAACACAAAGGTCATAGGTCAGTTTCTCCCCTCCTTTAATTAGGTCGTCTGGACTCCTGGCTGAAGTAGGGGTGGCCTAGAGCCTAGAAGTAGGAATAGTTCAGGCCAAGGCCTCAGGACACTGCTCCAAGGTCATAAAAGAAGACCAGGAAATGACTGGGGGTAGGTGGGTGGAAGGAGGCCTAAGAAGAGGAAGGCTCTTCCCCTCACAACCCCCTCCTTTTTCTCCTTCCCACTCTCCCACAGGTGTGGATGGCTCCATGTTTGAAGCGCTGCCTTCACAGCCTGATGACCTATCCAGCCTACGGCGTTGCCGGCTGGTCGGCGACCGATGGAAACCTTGCCTGTGTCACTACGGGCTCAGCTTAGCCTGGTACCCCTGCCTGCTCAAGTATTGCCACAGTCGGGAACCTAGCGGTCGCCTCTCCTCCTATAAGTGTGGCATCCGCAGCTGCCAAAAGAGCTATAATTTTGACTATTATGTGCCCCAGAAACAACTGTGCCTTTGGGATGAGGACACCTAGCCAGGGCCGGGGGCACTGAGCTGGGCAGGGGTGAGATGAGGTGCTCCCCTCTCAGGAGGAGAGAAAGGGGCTGCAAAGCCTCTCCTTTCCTCACTCATCCCATCTGGAGTCTCAGGCCCCTTGCTCTATGACTGTGAAAAGGGATGAGGTTAACACAAGGGTTAACTTAAGACCACCCCTTATCCTCCCTAATCCCTACTCCCTGCTCCTTTATTGAGGGTAGGAGAAGTGCCCAATCTAGCCCCCTCCCCTTAAGGTATATCATTTTCAAGCAACAAAAATGTGACCATTTCTTTTATTTAACTCTTTTACAGCTCAGACCTTAAGAAAACCCTGCTGGGGTGGGGAGAGAAGAAAGGGAAGTATAATAAATCCCCTGTCTGCCCTGCCCCTCTCCTCTTCCATTCATACTTCTCTTCCCTTACTTAGAAGGAACCCATACAAATCCCTTCCTCAAGTGGCTTCTGTTTGCCGTTCCCCCCCTCCCCACTCCAGCAAGAGAACTTCTGGGGACACTCCCCCTCCAAAAGGCATGGGGGTAGGGGTGGCAGGTGACACCAATGAATTACCCAGAGGTACTGAAGGAAAGAGGGGTGAGGGCCAGAGAGTATCACAAGCCATAGCCTCCACCCCTTAGAAAGCCAGGAATATGGGTGCAGGGGGTAAGGCAGGGTGGAGAGATCTCCCTGGTCCTCCCCCTACCCAACCACAGTGCCTTTATCCTCCGAGTCAGGACCTAGCCAACCAGTGTGATTGCCAGCAATATTTTTTTTCCATTTCATACAATTATTTTTGTAAGCACAGGGGGAGGGGAAGGGGGAGGGTCAAATTTCAGATTTTTAATGCAAAGTATTTATCGTTTGTACCAGAAATAAAAGAAGTTTTTACTTTATCAATATGATTGGTCTGTACACTTTGGGGTGGGAAGTTTCCAATTGCTTTGGCTCATACAGGACATACCTGAGCCAATGCTGCCATCTGGTGCTTAAAGAACACTATGCAGCCTCTCAGCAGCTGGGCCAGAAAAGTTCAACTTCCAAATGTTTGCATTTTTTTTATTATTATTATTCTTAAAGCCCACTGTGTGCCCAACTGAGCCAGAAGTTATAGAAGATACACAGGGAAGTATAAGCAGATGTCTGGGCTCTAAGTTTGGAAGATTATAATCGTAATAATAGCTACCATTTATATCGTGCCTCCTAGGTGTGAGGCACTGTGCTAAGTACTTTGCAATTATGATTTTATTTGATCCTCACAATAACCCTGGGATGTAGGTGCCGCTATTATCCCCACTTTACAGTTGAGGGAACTGAAGCAAACAAATTAAATGACTTGCCTAGGGTCACACACAGCAAACAAGTGCCTGAGGCCAATTTGAACTCAGGTCTTTCTGACCCTGGGCCAGGTGGTCTTATCTGCTGCCATCTAGTTAAGTGCATTACAGATATTCTCATCTGATCCTCCAACAACCCTGGGAAGTAGGTGCTATTAACACCCCCATTTTACAGTATAGGAACACTCATTAAACAGTGGTGAGCAATACAAGACAATATTCAACGTTGGTCTAAAAGACAGGCTATCCACATGGGTTTGAGCTGGAAGTCGAAATGGAAGCCATCTTAGATTTATCATAGATGATAAAACTGAGCTCCAGAATATGGGAAGCAAACAACTTAGTAAGTGGAAGAACTGGGATTCCAACTCAGGTCTTCTGCCTCTGAAGCCAATGCTTCTTCCATGTTACCATTCAATTCCCTAAGTGATATCTATTTGAAAGAGGAAAAATTGTATATGCATGTATGTGCATGTGTGCTTATATAATATATATATGTAATACATGCATATATGTATTTATATTATGCATTCACATAGGCGTACACTGAGAAAGAATATTACCATTTATAGGTTGCACTCAGGTTTGTTTATACAGGACAGATTTTAGGGAGAAAGTACAGGCTACATTTGAATTAATACAAGTGGTCATCTAACCTCCTGATATAATGAAATGCTTAAGTTTTTTTATTTGTTTCAGTTTTGAGGTTTTTTGGACTCTCAGGGCCAAAAATCGTGATTTTTGTCAACACGGAGGATTCCTGGCTGGGAAATTCCTTCCACTGATGCAGATTGGCAAGACAGGGGTCTTAGAGAGTTGCTTGGGGCTGGAGAGGCTAATTGACTTGTCCCTGTTCACAGTCTATGTCGGGGCGGGGAACCTTCAGCCTTGAGGCCACGTGTAACCCTCTAGGTCCTCAAGTGCTGACCTTTGACTGAATCCAAACTGTTTGGACCTAGAGGGGCACATAAGGCCTCTAGGCCACAGGTTCCCCACCCCCTAACCTATATTAAAGACAGGATTTGAAGTCTTTTGGATGCTAGCTGATGAGTTTTTTGGGCTCGACAATTCATGAAACTGTCTGGAAGGGTTATAATCAGGATTAACAGTGAATTCACACAGATGATGCCAAGGACGTTCAAAGTATTCAAATTTTCCCTGGTGAATACAGAGAATAACTACTTAGAAAAACCCTCTAGAGGTCCCGCAGATGGAGAAGCTAGTAGGTCATGGACCAACACTGCCCCTATTCCCTAAACCTTACCAGGCTGAGGATTGTGCTAGAATTGGTGAATTGTTTCAAGTGGACTGAGGGGAGGGCCCTCCCCCCAGCACAGGACTATTCAGGTGTGTATGAGGATTTCTTCTGCACCCTCCACGGACCAGTCAAAAGCATTCCCAAATCTCTGGAGAATTTCTTCTGTACTTTCCACGGACCAATCCAGAGCAACTGCGAATCTCAGGACCGCAGAGCTGATTGGTTGCCTATGAGAGGTGAGGGGAAACAAGGGAAGAATCAAATCAGGGGCCTCAGAAATCCCTAAGCATAGGTCTGCCCTGGTGACGTCAAGTAAGTCCTGGGTAGTTTGCCCCTACTGCTTCCTTGTGGCATCCTGGCAGGCCCACATGTAGGGCTGTACCTGTGTAGCAAGCAAAGACACAGGTACAACCCTCTATGTAGCCAAGCAGGAAGCTATCTGCACCGTATGATTTCAATAGCCTGGGAAAGCCCCACTCCACCCAAATCTCTCCCTGACCAAAAGACTGTAATGTCTAAAGCTCTCACCATAGGATTATTAATTTGGATTATGGTAGTACCATCTCCAGAAGGGCCTCTGTGAAGATTTATGTGCATTACTTGGGAGAGGTGACCCACAAAACAGACTAACCCACTAACCTGTTGGTTTATCTGATTAGCCAGCTGTCACTTAACAGGGACCTAGGTCCTGAGGGAAAAAAGTGCATAATTCAGGGTTTGGGGGGTTGTCCCCATAGTGGCAGCCATTCTGAAGGCGCTGTATTCAGAAGCATGGGGTAAGGGCCAGGACTTCATGGAGTTGGGAAGAACATGGAAAAGAAAGAGAAAGAGAATGGAGAAATGAAACTTCCCTGTGACCCTGTACAGAGATGTAGGGTGCAAGAAACTTTTCCTTCAGCTTCTGGCTCTCTGCAAGGAGTACCACCCCCCAACCCTCACCCTATCTGTGCAGATACGTAAGGCTCAGTGTTCAGAACCTAAGTGTGGTGATTCCAGGCTCCACTGAGACTCTCCCAGAGTAGCATCCAGGTGCAAGAAATCATCAAGTGGGCCTGGCTATATTAACATAAATCTGCATCTCATTTGCATCTACCTCCAATCTCCGCATGTTATCATGTATTCTCAGGCTCTTTACAAGTTCAGTTGTGACTACACTATTACTCAGTCTGAGGTTCTCTGAGCTCTGGTCTTTCTCACTGGATTCAGAATTTCTGAGCTAGAAGTGGACACTGGATGGTGGGAACTGGGGGAGGGGGACACCTACAGAGGCTGAGGCAGGAAGTGGGGAGGGGTCACTAGAAGCTTCCTAGGCCCAAAGGAGAAGGAAGATTCTGGGAAGGGAGAGAGAAAGATCAAAGCGTCCTCCATTCCGGGCCCAGCATCCCCAAAGAGGTGCCGGCCCCCATCCCAGAGGACAGGACCAGACTAGGGGGAACCTGCCAACTTCTACAGCAGGTAGATAGGTCCTCGGGAGGGCAGAGATGGGGGACATGGGGTACGGACAAATTTTCCGAGCCCAAATGGAAGGGAACCCCCTGGATGGGTCATTCTAGGGTTTATGGTATATTTTTTATCTAAATATTTCTATGTCCTAGGTTACTACTTAATAATCATTCACATGTATATAGTGCTTGGCAGTTTACAAAGCACTTTACATATATTATCTCATTTGATCCTCGCCCCAAAAAGTATTCTGTGGTATAAGCATGACAGCTATTGTTATCCGCATTTTACAGAATTGATTTGCCTAGGAGAGATATTTGGGTGGGAGGGACTTTAGGGGCTCCCAGAAACTAGAACCAGGCCAGTCAGAAAACCTTGATTTCAGAATACCCACGGTCTGATTGAGCACTCACAGGAGTCAGAAGCATTATTGTTGTTTGTCTTTTACTCTCAAAGAGGACCCAGACATCAGGAAGATGAGGCCGTGACATGCAAGTGAATTGTATTTGAGTGATTTGGTGTGCAAAGTCATCAGCCTTACTCTCTCCTCCGGAGCCATCTGGGTCCAGTGGCCAGATAGATCAGCACAACTAGAAATGGCATAATAACATTGGGCTGGATGACCTCTAAGATTCTTTCCAACTCTGAGGTTCTGTAATGACCAGGCTGCATTGTAAAAGAAAAGGACCTTACAAGACATATGGCCAGCAGGGCCACAGCCACAGGCTCTGGCTGAAGCTGCATGGATTTGACGTTTATTCTGAGCTATTTAACTCAAAGCAGCCTGCAACATCTCCAGACTCAGGGGAATTGAAAGGAACCTTAGAGATCACTTAATCTAAGTCCCCACATTTTAGAGAAAAATAAACTGAGACCCAGAAAGGGAAATAACTTTGCTCAGGGTTACATAGCTAGTGAATGATACAGGCAGAATTAGAACTCAGGACCTTTGAGCTCCCATTCATGGGAACACCATCACCACAATAACTCATACTTCTGTAGTTTGCAAACTTGCTTCCTCACAACTATCCTGTGAGGTAGGTAGAAATAATATGTATTACTCTCATTTTATAAGATGAAAAAATTTAGCCTCAGAGAGAAAAAGTACCTGGGGAGGCAGCATGCTTTAATGGAAAGAGCGCTAGATTTGAAGTAAGAGGAGCTAGGTTCAAACCCCAGATCACGACAAATCCTATATGTTTTATTTTATGCATTTTAAAATATTCTGAGGAAGGATCCATAGATGCTTCCTCTGACTGCCAAAAAGGTTCATGACATGAAAAAACATTAAGAACCCCTGCACTGTTGTTGTTCAGTCATGTTCGATTCTTCATAACCTCTTTTGGAGTTTTCTTAGCAAAGATACTAGAGTGGTTTGTGATTTCCTTCCCCAGTTCATTTTACAAATGAGGAAACTGAGGCAAATAGGGTTAAGTGACTTGTCCAGGATCACACCTCTAGTAAGTGTCTGAGACTGAATTTGAACTTGGGTTCTCCTGACTCCAGGCCTGGCATTCTATCCACTGTGTCACTTAACTGCCCCTCAGCCCCATCCTTTGCATTAGATGACCTTTAAGGTCCATCCCAGCTCCAAATCTGTGGTCCCATGACTTGCCCAGGGTCACACAGCAAGTATGTCCTAGAGAGTGAGAGCTAGGGGAAAAGCAAGGTAAGGTGCAAAGCAGAAAACTCAGATATTCTATGTAGTTCAATGAGTATTGATTGAGCATATGCGGGTTTCCAGGCACTGTTTCCAGCCCTGTGAAGATTTCAGAAGAAGCAAAAGGCATCATCTCACTCTTGTATAGTTGATGAGACAAAGTTGGCATATGAAACAGTTATCAAACAGTACAAGGCA